TTCAAAATGTTACTGTTTTTGCTGTATTTTGGATCAAATAAATGCAGGCTTGGTGAGCAGAAGATAATTCTTTAAAAAACATTTAAAATCTTACTGTTCAAAAACTGTTGACTGGTATGTTAGCCTATAGTTTGAAGTTAAAAATGTTAATATTAATATTAATAATGAGAGTCTGAGATTTATTTGACAGTGATTTCACATTTCTTGTTTGTATGAAGGCTAAATACCAATACAAGGTGAACATTTATTTATTTGCGGCATTTTTTTCCTAAAATATTATATCGTTTTATAGGAGTAGAGTTGGCAAATTCATTTTTCATAAGTTTGTAGGTACAGACATCTGTTGTGGCCATTCTTGGCCGTTTTTATGAGGCTTTTTTAATAGTGTTCATATCGATATTGGAATTTTATCGTATCGACCGAAATTAAGAAATATATTGTGATATAAATTTTGGCCATATCGTCCAGCCCTACTTTGGGCATATTATTATAAAAGCCCAAAAATGTATTTTCATCAAAATATAATAATTCTTTTCACCTCAAAATTGCTTTTTCATTTGACATCCCCAATCTCCTTTATTTTTTAGCCCTGACTTTAAATGGGACATGGCATACTGTGGTGGTACATTACCATTCAGAAGTTTGAGGTCAGTCAGATTTTGTAATGTTTTTGAAACGAGTCTCTTTAGCTCGCCAAGGCTACATTTATTTGTTCAAAAAATACAGCAAAAACAGTAATATTGAGTAATAATTAAAATAACTGTTTTCTATTTTAATGCATTCTAAATGTAATTTATTCCTGTGATGCAAAGCTGCATTTTCAGCATCATCACACCAGTCTTGTGTCACATGATCCTTCAGAAATCATTCTAATATGCTGCTTAGCTGCTCAAACATGTATTATTATCATCAATGTTGAAATGCTTTTCTGCTTAATAGTTTTGTGGAAACCATGATACATTTTTTCAGGATTCTTTGATTTATAGAAGTTCAGTATTTATTTGAAATTGAGATGTTTTGTAACATTATAAATGGCTTTAATGGCACGTTTATTCAGCTTAATGCATCCTTGATAAGCAAATGTATTAATTTCTTTAAAAAACTCTCACTGACCTCAAACTTTTGAACAGTATATACAGAAGCATGATTCATATTCATTCACAAGAATATAAAATATGTGTTGTTAGTGAGAGTACTACACCTTAAAGAGAGGGAAAACTATGGTTACTATTGAGAGATCCAATAATATTATCTTCTATTCATAATACACACATATAACTGGATTAATCTGTATTGTAATTTTGTAGCAATGTATCCCAACATGCGTCTCTATTTTCAACACTGCCTTTCCCAGCCAAACAAAAGGCCCAGGAGAGACGGTCTGTAACTGAACTCAATAGATGTGCCGGGCTCTTTGTTATTGACTGTATATAGTATCAGGAGCACACCTCTGTGCCAATCACAGACGGGGCAGGCAACCGCGGTGTTGTGGCACTGGGCTCCAGCAGGCTAAAGTTGCAGTCACACCGACTTAGTTGTGCTCTGTCGAGAGACCTCAGCTCAATTGATTCAGTCATTGGAATCCAGAAGTGGGTCGAAGTTGTGATTAGCTTTGGCCCGGGGTCTCGTGAGACGCCCTGTGAATGACTTTCATTGCTGCCTTTTTACCACAGACACAGACAGCCGGTCAGAGATCTTCTTCCCCCGCCAAGCACTCAAACAAAGAGAAAGAAACACAAGACTGCTGTATCCTCACCTACATCTGAGCTCAGAAGCCATGCTAGACGGAAAACGCCCAAAATATACACTCGCTCCCCCAGATGCCTGCACAAAACAATGATTTATTATAAATTATGACTACTGCCTCAAAGTGTTTCTGTTTATTCTGAATCGAGTGATTTACAACTATGCGCTGAGCATTTCTCTGTATTTATTTCCTTCTGAATAAAATAAGTCCCTTTCTGGCAGCAACTGCTACAGTAGCGACTCAACATAACGTCTACACTGGAAGCGACCAACGCCACATCACTAAATATGAAAATGCACTGGAATACACTGATGTAAACACTGTATGCACTGTAAATATGTATATACAGGTGCATCTCAATAAATTAGAATGTCGTGGAAAAGTTCATTTATTTCAGTAATTCAACTCAAATTGTGAAACTCGTGTATTAAATAAATTCAATGCACACAGACTGAAGTAGTTTAAGTCTTTGGTTCTTTTAATTGTGATGATTTTGGCTCACATTTAACAAAAACCCACCAATTCACTATCTCAACAAATTAGAATATGGTGACATGCCAATCAGCTAATCAACTCAAAACACCTGCAAAGGTTTCCTGAGCCTTCAAAATGGTCTCTCAGTTTGGTTCACTAGGCTACACAATCATGGGGAAGACTGCTGATCTGACAGTTGTCCAGAAGACAATCATTGACACCCTTCACAAGGAGGGTAAGCCACAAACATTCATTACCAAAGAAGCTGGCTATTCACAGAGTGCTGTATCCAAGCATGTTAACAAAGTTGAGTGGAAGGAAAAAGTGTGGAAGAAAAAGATGCACAACCAACCGAGAGAACCGCAGCCTTATGAGGATTGTCAAGCAAAATCGATTCAAGAATTTGAGTGAACTTCACAAGGAATGGACTGAGGCTGGGGTCAAGGCATCAAGAGCCACCACACACAGACGTGTCAAGGAATTTGGCTACAGTTGTCATATTCCTCTTGTTAAGCCACTCCTGAACCACAGACAACGTCAGAGGCATCTTACCTGGGCTAAGGAGAAGAAGAACTGGACTGTTGCCCAAGTCCTCTTTTCAGATGAAACCAAGGTCCTAGAGTCTGGAGGAAGGGTGGAGAAGCTCATAGCCCAAGTTGCTTGAAGTCCAGTGTTAAGTTTCCACAGTCTGTGATGATTTGGGGTGCAATGTCATCTGCTGGTGTTGGTCCATTGTGTTTTTTGAAAACCAACGTCACTGCACCCGTTTACCAAGAAATTTTGGAGCACTTCATGCTTCCTTCTGCTGACCAGCTTTTTGAAGATGCTGATTTAATTTTCCAGCAGGATTTGGCACCTGCCCACACTGCCAAAAGCACCAAAAGTTGGTTAAATGACCATGGTGTTGGTGTGCTTGACTGGCCAGCAAACTCACCAGACCTGAACCCCATAGAGAATCTATGGGGTATTGTCAAGAGGAAAATGAGAAACAAGAGACCAAAAAATGCAGATGAGCTGAAGGCCACTGTCAAAGAAACCTGGGCTTCCATACCACCTCAGCAGTGCCACAAACTGATCACCTCCATGCCACGCCAAATTGAGGCAGTAATTAAAGCAAAAGGAGCCCCTACCAAGTATTGAGTACATGTACAGTAAATGAACATACTTTCCAGAAGGCCAACAATTCACTAAAAATGTTTTTTTATTGGTCTTATGAAGTATTCTAATTTATTGAGATAGTGAAATGGTGGGTTTTTGTGAAATGTGAGCCAAAATCATCACAATTAAAAGAACCAAAAACTTAAACTACTTCAGTCTGTGTGCATTGAATTTATTTAATACACAAGTTTCACAATTTGAGTTAAACTTTTCCATGACATTCTAATTTATCGAGATGCACCTGTATGTATTCACCATGCACTCTTGATCATGCCAGTAATACAGGAACTTTTGCAGGTCTCTTTATTGGTGAATTGTTCCATCTGCAATTATGAATCTCTGCGGGGCAGAGGTAATGACTGGTGGACTCTCAGTCTTCAGCTGTTTCCACAGGCTCTTCTG